CATTGATCATATCCTTGCTCATTTTTGTTCTAAAAGTTTTCATTTATCTTGGAGTCGTTAAATATTATAGAGATAGATTCTACCTACATATTAAGTAATGATAAGTAGATCTGTGAATGTTGTAATACAAGATAAGTAATTATAATTGCCGCAACTGTAGTTGCATCTGTATTATTTCTTATTTATGGAGAATATTTTTTTTTTGCAATGAATGTAGATACACTCCCCTGCACTGATTATAATAATGTGATTGAACTATATTAAATAAAATAATTATCATTGAAATGAGTACAATATTATCTCATTATGTATTTAAACTTGATATAATTAAGCGCCTATCCCTATAATGTTATACACACACACGGTAGATTTCCAATTGCGTTCTTGCGGGATTTCGCATAAAATATTGTAAAATTAAAATCGTTTATTTTTTTATAAAATTTTATCTTTATTTACATTCTTTTATATTTAAAAAAGATAGTTGGTTTTTTTTTATAAATTAATATATTTTAATAAATCAATATATTTTAATAAATCATGATGTTATTTTATTTTGAAAAATATTTACCGACTTTGCATTTATAAATTATAAAAAATAATAGGCAGATAATTAAGTCAATTGGCCCGCAAAAAATTTTTTTTTAGCAATTTTTATATTTCTACCGCAATTTTCATATTTTTCCCGCAAAATACTAAATTTCTCCCGTGATTTGGAAATTTTAACCTGGCAACTCTGCTCCTTATACATAATTCGAATGTAGATTTGAATACAAAAATGTTCAAACCGTGATTTAAAGGTTCGACACGAACCGATATATTTATTTTTTACGAACCGAACTTGAACCTCGAACCGTTATTTTTATCCGAACCTGAACCTGAATCGAACCGATATTTGTTTCGGTTTGGATCTCTGCAGATGATTCTTTTTAACATTCATGTTTAAAAGATTTACATATCACAGAATATAACTTTATTTCTTCGTTGGAATCTTGTATCAATTTCCTTATTTTTATCGATCATATTTTAAATATATTGACAGCCAAAATTAGCTGGAAAATATTTAAGATAGATTAAAAATAGCGACACCCAAACGAAATTAGTAAAGAATATATTTTATGATAGAATATCATTACCAATTTTATGTATTCTATATTTAGAATCTTTAACACTCATGGTAATAAAGAAGAAGGTAGTGAAAATGAAATTATGGAAATAAGTTCCCCTGAATCAAATTTCAATCTTAATTTTTTAAAAATAATTCAATTAAAAATAGACAATGTACCGGCTGAATGTCAAATTTACAAACAAAAAAATGATAAAAACTATAAATTTTGTTAAACATAAATTCTATTATTTATATGATATTGTATGTTATTATATATTATATATTTTTTTAAATTAGAGATGGCATTTATACCCAATATAAGTTGTATATAAAAGAGCAGATAAGAAGACCAGCAAACTCCACCACCATAAAATTATGATTCAACTCAACCTAGTATAAGTTTCATTTAATGCTATTATAAAATAAACCCAATAGTTACACAAAATAAAATTGATAAGTTGATATATGCATTTATTGTCGAGAGTTTACACTCTTTGAGTCTTGTTGAAAAGCCTGAATTTATTACAATGATGGAAAGTTATTTAATATATATATATATAAATATTGATATGATATTCTTAATAATGTTGAATCATTTAAGATTTCAAGGAGGTCTTTGCGAGAATAATGTAGAAAATTTTTGAGAATCAAATAGATACTTTAAAAGTATTTTGAAGGCTAAGTCATATATCGGCACCATGGCAGATTTATGGTCTACATAAACCCGTAGTTTTATGGGAATAACAGCTCACTGAGTAATATATTATATTTTATTATTTTTAAAGATTGCACGCAAATAAAAACCTTGGCATATAGATAAATGCTTGGAATCTATTCATTTGATAAAATTGCAATTATTGGTAGAAGTGGAATTTCAGATAAACTAATTGCCACTGTTATGGATAATACATCCAATATGTCAAGTCATCTACTGAATATGGTATAAAATTAAATGATCTTGACGATGATTTTGAAGATTAGGATGACCTATTAGAATTTAATGAAATTAGGTGTGCCTACCACATTTGGTCATTATGCCATCAAAGATAGTCCAATATCATGCTCTAGGAATTTCACTATAAAGTAATAGGAAAATGTACAAAATTATGGAATGCATGTGGAAGGCTTAAATATTCCGAAAATATAAGGGAGATAACGAATGGTAATCAGCTGAAAGTTCCACGCATTACCAGTTGAAGTCGCCTATATTATAGTATGACTTCATTTCTTTTAAAATATAAATCACATTTAAATTTATTATGTGAAACAATTGATTGTCCCATTTTAAAGAAGCGTATATTGTTTATATTGAGGTGGTTTTAAATCCTGTAGCACTTGTATTAGACAAATTACAAAGGCAGAGTAGTTCATTTTATGGAGAATCAGTGCCCATACTATTGGGGGTTAAAAGGGACTTAGGTAAACTTAAAAATTCAGGTTTGCAAGATTGTCTACCTTTATTAAAAGCTGTCCAAGATGCTATGGGAAAAAGATTTGGAAAATTTTTTCCTATGATGAATATAATGATGCTTTTTAAGCATCATTGTCACAACAATATTTTAAGAACTTGATTGAGTCGGATGATAAAAAAAATATTATTACAAGGCTACCCTGACGAATACTTTTTGTAAGTCGATTTATAGAGTACCACTATAAATTTTTTAACTTAAATAATATTTTTATTATTAACCATTCTAAAATTCAAATAATTATCTATATCAGGTCGAATCAACGAAACATATCGTGAAACACTTGTTAGTTAAACACTTATTGCGAATGTCGTTTATCGCTAAGTAATTTTAGAGCCAAGGCAATATCACGAACTCGTTAAACTTATTTCTGCAAACACTTTTGAGCGAATATATTATCGCGTAATTGATTTTTTAATTGCTATTAAAAATCGAATAATGCGCAACGTTATAGTTTTCTTGATGAATTAAAAATAGGCAATAATCACTGGCCCAACCCAGATATCATTTATTTTTACTAGTAGGGATCAATTAACTAATGAATCCATTAATTATTTTATCCTTAGAATCCTGGTTAATAGTGCGCATTCTTATAAAATGAAACTTCAAAGAAGTTATGTAAAAATTAAAAGCATGATTGAATCCTATCTTTTAACCTATTTTTATAAGATATTATTTATAAAATTAAATATTTTAAAATAAAATATGCACCTTTAGTAATTGTCACGATATTACTTTTGCGATATTTTTCGCGAAATAGTTTTGGTTATATTGTAGCAAATTTTTTGCGATACTGACCTCGCTATAAAATTTTCGCAATTATTAGATCGCATTAAAAGTTTCGCTATTATATATTCTCTCAAAAATGTTTGCGATATGGGTTTCACATAAAAAATTTGCAATATCTTCGCATAATAGTATTCGCGAATGGGGATTCGCGATAAATGTTTCACTATAAAATCCATTCTAGGTCAAAGTTTCGATGAATTGACATGGTAAATATCATTTCGAAAATGTTCCAATTATATTTTATCTGCAGTAATACAAACTATTTATTGTTACAGCATAGCATATCATATAAATCATGTTATAATTGCAAATATAATGAATATTACCTTTTTACAGAGCATTACAATAAATTTGAAGTGATTATAATGCACAATAAAATGAATTATAATATTGCACAATATAATGAATATTGGTAAAAAAAAAATATTAGAGGGGAGACTTGGGTAAGGTAGGGTTTAATAAACCACTTAATCTCATTTTAAAATTAAATAACCAGAAGTAAAAATTTATCCTAATATAGTTTTTATTAGTTTACATCTATAGACAAAATATTTTGAATTAAAAATTTTATTTAAAAAATAAAATTTTGATGAAATTTTCAAAAAATTTTTACATGATAAAATTTTTATTTAAATATATATAATCATTTATATGTAAATTAAATTTTATAGCAAAGTTTTAACACTCTTCTAGAATTTGGATAAAGTTTTATGAGTATTTATTATCTAGATATTTCAATCATGATTTGTCAATTTTGAGCTAGCAAGGCTTGCTAAACCATACACGTCAACTATGGCAGTTAATAATGAAAAAAATTTCAAAATCTTGAAAAGACAATTTCATGACTGTTATGATTGATATTTAGGATTTATAGGATCATAATCTCCTTAAGATCCTTATATTTTTATGTCCAAAATGTTTATTAAATTAACCAAAATTTTTCAATTTTTATATATAATTAGCTTCAATTTATAAGTATTATGATATTTTGAACAATATAACAATAAAATTATTCTATACGTATCATTATTAATAAATAAAAATGCATTTCAATTTATTATTGCCTAAAAAAACCATTGATTTAGGAAAGTTAGCCCCTTGAATGGTTTGCCTCACCCCGCTATTGGGGCTTGTTGGAAAAAATTTACACTTTTGCAAAAAATCAAATTTAAAAAAATGATTATATTCTTAAATTTTTCACCTTAAAAATCGGTTCGAATAACCCCAGTCTCCCCTATATTTATATAATTATTATTCTTTAATAATATAATATTTAATTCATGTCCATTTGACCAATTAATTAAATTTGCAAAACGGAATAATCTTTTTACATGAGGATAGTAAAATAGAATTATATTTAAAATCTTTACGCTTATTTTTAAATAATTTAATACCACTAACTAGTGTTGTTAAACAGCTCATTTGAAATACAGGTATTCTCTTTACTGCCCAACCCTGATTATCAGATGCTTTCTGTATTAAACATTTTGATACTTATCAAGTATTCGCTTTACTGCCCAACCCTAATTACCAGATGCTTTCTATGTTGAGCAATATGATACTTTTTTTTGCCTTATATATACGAATATTACATAATCTCACTAAACTTCTACCAATTATTTAAAATTGATATTTAGTGTATTTTCAAGCTTAAGTGATATGATTGTGGCCCGTGTGTATGATCAAAATTTTTTAACGACATTAGCTAAAAATGCATCAGTTCCTGTTATTAATGCTTTATCCGATCATTCTCATCCTCTTCAAATATTAGCCGATTTTTTGACTTTACAAGTAATTGATTAGAAAAAATTTAAATAATTATTTACACTCTAATAGATTAGCCCTCTATTGCATCGCGTAAACTTGAGGCAACGTCTAAAATATTTTACTATAAATATTGTTATAAATGATATTAATCCAACGCGCATTATAATTTTAAGTAACATATATTTTGTAATAGTAATCATGAACATAGCATTATTTTTAATTCTTTTTATAAAATGGTTACCTTGGAAATTTAAATTCGTTATAAATCATTCAAATTTTAGTTGAATTCTATAAATATTTGAAAACTAGTAAAAATAACATCATTTATACAATTATTATATTTTTATAAATGTTTAAATTATAACATATTCTTTATTTCTAATAATATGGTTAGTTAATTTAAGTTAACATTGTGTATTTAGAGGATTTTTGTTATTATGAAATATTTATTGAAAATTTTATCAAATAAAATTTTATAATACCGGTAGAAAGTGAGGATTCTCATTTGAGTGAATCGTCTGATGAAGAATATGACATTGGTCAATTTAGCATTTCTTAAGTTTTAATAATTTTTTTTAGAGGTAATTGAATCAAATGATTCGGATATTGAAAGCATTGACTCAAGCCAACCAGATTAAGGATAGCCAGGACGACGAAATATATGGAAATCTTCCTTAACTAATGTCTCAGATTGGAAAGGCTGTTTACCCTTGGCCAATAAAGTTGAAAGTCCGATATATTACTTCAGAATTTTACTGGGAAATTTACTTCCACTAACAGTATTACAATCTAAACTTTATGCAATCCAAAAAGATCCTATTAGGCCCCTTTATTTACTGGATGAATTAGAACAATTCATAGGAATTCTCTATATGAGCATTATAAATCTGCCAAGAATTCGTTTATGTGCAGTTTCCGAATATGGCTAATATTATGTCATAAAAGGGTGAGAGTTCATAAAATTATGCTTCACCTAAATGATAACACAAAAGCTGGGGACCTAGGACATGATGTTCTTCATAAATTACGACCTATGCTAACGATCACAACAGTTATTTTAAAATAAATTATACTAAAAGAAAATCTATCTGTCGATGAGCAAGTTGTACCTTTCAAAGGGCAAAGTAATATGAAACAATACAACGTCCAAATCCTAAAAAGTGGGGGTTAAAATTTTTTTTATTATATGGAAATAATGGTATTTTTATCATTATGAAATGTATATGGATAAGATCTCTAAACCGAACAATCGGGGCTTGTGGGAATTCTGTTCTACGCATGGTTGTCGTAGCCCATTTGCAACAAAATTTTAAGTTATGTTTTGACAATTGGTTCTCAAGCAAAAACTTACTAGCTATATTAGCGCATAGGGAGATACAATGTGTATCAACGATTAGGGCTAATCGCCTCAAAAATTGTGTTTTGCCGACAGATCAAGAATTTTTAAAAAAGGGAAGAGGAATTTTTGTTGAAAAAAACGGTGATCAATGGAGTCGGTTTATCTGTTATCAAATGGTTTGACAATCGTTCCCTTTATCTAATGAGCAGCTTTATAGGGGCCCACCCAATATCTGACGTGAAACGATTCTATCGAAAAAAGGTAAGTATTAACGTGAAGTGTCCAGCTATTGTTAAAAATTACAAAAAAACATGGGCGAAGTGGATCTTATAGATTCCCTACTAGCGCTATATAGAATTCATATCAGGTCCCGAAAATAGTATCTAGCATTTCATATATTTGATCTGATGCCTGCTAATGAATGGCTATTATATCAGAAGGATTTTAACCTGTTACAAATTCTAAGGAGGGAGCAGGAATCGCTCTTATATTGTAAAATAAGTCGCAGATGTCTCATGTAAAGGAAATAAAAGTACCAATTCAAATTCGAGTAATAGACGGATATTGGCGCAATCCGAGTATAAAAAAAATGTAAAAGAGGTTCAGCGCAGCGGTAACCAAATCCGGAAAGACCAATTTGCACATTGGCCGAGGTATAATGGCAAAAAGATCAGGTGCAAATTACCAGGATTTAAGGGTAATACGAAAGTAGCATGCGACAAATGCGGGGTATCATTATTTTTTACAAAAACTGATTTTTTGCCCTTGTATATCATTTTTATACAATCTGTTATGTATTCTAGTTAACATATTCCAAAATATTCAAAAGATTCGGGAGAAAAATTTGTTACCTTCTTTAGATATATATGAGAGTTAAAAATGAGTATTTATTATAAAATTTTCGCTTTAATTAGTTTAGCGTGCAATAGAGGGTTACGAAAGAAAGTATATTTAGATTAAAATATTTTCAGAAATAAATTTTATTAATTTAATAGATTAGCGAAGGTTATTAAGTGTAATAGATTGTTATATGGCCTCCAGGTCTAAAACTTGATTTCGGCCTAGAGATGGTTTTAAAATTAAAATGATATCAACCCAAGTAGGAACTAAATATTTTAACAAAGGGGCTTTATTTAAAAAAAATATTAAATTATTATTTGGAAAATCATATATGCCATTAAATATTCATTTGCATCTCATATTTTCAATTTTCCTTTTATACAGCCAAAATTATTTAAAATGATGAAATTTTAAAAATCAGGACCTGGCCATAAAATAATATAGATGTTTAAAATTCTGACCTCACCCCCGGGCGTAAAAGTTATATATTAAAAAAGTTTTATTCTAGAAAATAAATAACCATTATTGCTAGGGGATATTAAATATCGATAATTTAAATTAGAAGGATATTAGGTTATATTATAATAATTTGAATATTATTAAATTTGAGTTGTTAATCCTTATACTTACAAATTGAAGCCTTTTCCTTTTGAGTTGTATTTCGAGTAATGTATGTTTATAGTGGTGTGGAAATATGTAAATTGATAATCTTAACAGAGGGTTTTAAAGAAAAAACCGTTTACTCTATCTCTTAATCTGTAAGCACTATATTGGACTTTCATTTAAACTAAAATAATTTCAATTTAAATTGAACTATAAGTCGTATATGATTTGAACTATAAGTCGTATATGATTTGATCTATCAAGATGAGCAAAAAAAGTATTTGGGCAGAAGTGGGATTCAAGAGGGTATTTTTTCTACTAAAACTTCCGCTCAAAATAGATTTGAAGACAAATATGCATACTTCTTCTATATGTAATCCTTTTTATTTATAAATATCTTAATTTTACATTTCCAGATAATATTCCTATAATCGGCTGGTTAACTCAAACCTGGAGATTAAGTTAAAAAAATGAATTAAATCTTGGCTAAGTTGTTTTAAAGTCTGCCTAGGGTTTTAATTTTTAGAATCCTACTCGAAATTAAGCTAAAAAATTTGATTAACATTGTAGCTAAGCGGTTTTGAGTCGACTCGAATTATAATTGAATACAAAAATAAATGGGAAATAATTATTATAAAAAAATTCGCTATCAGGCGCTAAGAAGCAGCTAGTTAATATTAAAGATACCTGGTACTCCCCGTTCAATAGTTAAATAATAGAACTCTTATTGTAAAAGCTTTAAACATACCATCCAATCTATTAATCTTCAATCATATTTACTAATTACACTACAATTACACTGAAGTTGAAGCAAAGCCATAAAATAAATGTTTATAAGTACTAGTGTTATTAAATGGCTCGATTTAGCCGATTTTAAATTAATATTTTAACCAACTTAATATTACGTAAATCTCGAGATTTCATGAATACATGTCCAAACCTTTCTTTCATCTATGAACAAAATCTTCAGGTTTGTGTAATATTTTTTGGCTAAAACTTTGAGTTAGTGTTTTTATAAATCGAGCTGTTTAGCAAACTAATAAGTACAAATATTGAAACAACCAATTCTCACATACTAGTAATTTATTATATAAGTAGGGAGACCGGGGTTGGTGGGACATTTTCCTTTCAAACCTTAATAATTTTATTAATCGACTAATCTGAACAAGTAAAACATCTTCTGAATCCCATAAGTATAGGCTATTTGAAATAATTAATATTTAGATAATTGGATTTCAAAAATTTTTTTTTGTACTAACCATGACAGACTCTGTGTACTTTGTGACACTCATGAAATAGAGGTTTAAATAAATTTAAAATCAGTATTCCAGTAAGACTAGAAACTATAACACATTTGATTTTATTGATAATATTGTAATTCATAACTAATAAATATAAAAAAAATTAGCAAAATTTATTTTGTTAAAAAAAAATTTGGAAAATAAATTTTTAAACATAAACAAAGTGAAAGATAAGTATTTAATTATATTTATTGCACAAAAAAAATCATCAAATTTGGCACAACTTTCTTGTGCCCATCCAATACAACCCATGAATTGGTAGCTTTCATAATTATTTTTATATTTTTTGTGACATATATGCAAATATTTTCATTTATTTTTTTAATAATTTTAGTTAATCTGGACTTCTTTTCATTTCCTGTGTTATTACCCAGAGGTTTTATAAGTTTTTATAAGATTTTGTCTTTATTTTTAATTATAGGATTTCTTACAGGGTAAAGATGAAAATATTTTAGATTTTTTCCTTCTTTTGTTGTCTATATTTCTCACAAGTTCAGGAAGTGTATATATATTCTCATATCAAATAAATTATCTTCTTTATATTGACTTATATCTTTATAATTTGAGAAGTTCTCTTATGCCTCTGAGGGCGGTAAGGTATTATTTTCTAAATTTGCAGGGTTCGAAATATTTAATGGTTCAGGTGTTGATTTTTCTAATGTTGTTTGACTATTGTCTTTAAAAACTACGTGTGAATTATCCATTATCAGAATTATTATATGCCCATTACTTCAAATGATTTATAATGTTTTTAATAGTTATGGTAAGTGGTATTATATTTTTTACTACTTTTGGAATGTCATAAATATTAAATAATTTATTTAAATTGCTGCGCATCTAGTAGCCGACGTAGTTATAATATTTTTTTATGGCCCAAAAATGCATCTGCCAAGGGCTTGCATTTTATAAGACGTATGTGGAGCAGAGACCTTCATGGGCCT